GATCCACTGCCTGACATTCCACAACCCAATACTTGGTCAGAACCCATACTTTGAAAACCACTGCTGTACAGCTATAGAATATGGAGGACAGATGACCTCCAATTGTTCTCCTACATCTCGAATGTTGGGTGAGTTCTCGGTTGGCCTAGGTCCAGTGTTTGTATGTGTCAGGATTTAGGAAAAAAACACCCTAATCCTTATTCTAGCTGTGAGGACGGCTTTAAGTCTGGGTCTTAAAAATAAGGGTTGGAGTTAGAAAAAATCATGTCATCTGTTTGTTGTGTTTCCTGCAGCGACTATAAAGGGCTCAAGGGTAGATGCTAACAGCTGTATTCTCTGTTGGTATCTCCTGTATCCTATGCTGTGGCTGGACTACTTATGAGCATTATTATTCCATCTAACTTGCGAGGCATAGGACGGTGTTGGCAGGTCTTTTCTACTGTTTAATTGGATTTCTTAATTTCTTGAGCAAGCCCACTCCTGCCACCCTTATCTTGTGTTGGAGGAGTTGGGCCTCATCTCAGTTTTGCAGCCCTCTTTCTCAAGGAAATGATTTCAGAGGATCATTGCTTACATTCCTCCTCCCTTCTATCTGTCTGATAGAGCCCATTTCACACTTGTTAGCTTTGGCAGAAATTAGGGGAACACAATTAAGCACCCACTAAGTCACAATTGCAATTAAACATATCACAAACCAGTATTTCCCAGCTTTCAAAATGGAAACATTATTGTAGCCTGAGTTTAACAGTATCTGATAATTTTAGTAACACTTGGGTATCAATTTAATGAAGACTTTAAAAAAATTCTGCTGCTCCATTCCCTATTGGAAGTTTGACAGTAGTTACCTTTTTCTCCTATTGGTAATATTTTTCCATTTGAAACTTACTTTTCAAAAGATCTGAAAATAGCTACATTGCCAACAGGAGTGTAAAACTATGCATCTCTCACATAAGTGACTCAAAAGTGATACAAACTTGGGTTTTAAAATGATGGGTTTAACAAAAATAAATATTTAACATCTGGATGACCTTCCAAGTCATTCTAAAAATATGCAGGTACCTTTGGGCATAAATTCTATATTTCATAATGAAAAGTGTTTTGTAAAAAGCCAATCAGTTCTCTGAATGTTTTAACCTAATATTGTAGACTTGCAAGACGTTTAGTTTATAATTTAAACCAGTAACTCTGTTATTCTGTTAGCACATCCCCTTACATATGTGGTTGGAGATTTGGAATACACTGTATCAGATACCATATTTATGAGCATAATTTACCATGATGATTCTGTGCATCTGAAATATTTCCAAGATCTTATTCATTTTTTAAGAAGTGTGATTTCTAGCAATATCCATGTATACTTTATTTGCTTTTAGTGGGACACTCTGTGCCAACTTAAAATGAAGTATTTATAACTATAAGAAAGCTAAACCTCTGGGATGGTTTTCTTTTGTCTCTGCTTTTGTTTGTTTTTACATGAATAGTTTGGTTTACAAAAATTACAGCATATAGTAAATGAAACCCACCCAATATTTTCTACAAATGACATGATTTTGATATACAAGGATTCTGTTTTATTACAGTGACAATGTACAACCATGTCTATTTACAATGCAAAAAAGTATATAAACCACAATTACTGGCAGCCACTATAGTTTTGGAGGTAGCTTTAATTAACAAAATGAATTGAAGCCATAATTCCCATCATGTATTCTATCAAATAATTTACAATACAAAGATAAAAATTCATTATATGCACAGTATGTACAATTTAATTTTCAAAACAGCAATCTAGCTTAAATCTTAAAAAGAACATTTCCAGAGGAACTGGTATGGCAGTGGACTTGCTTTTGATCCAGCATACTGTTCAAGAAACTTCTATAAAGTACTTTGATCATGCATTCATAACTTTATGTTGATCAAACTTCAAACTAAGTACAGATTAAAGGAAAATTGATGGTAATTAAGTGATAGTTGGGCCTTAGATAATTAAGAAAAATTTGGAATTAATTCATTGTTTTACATGAATCTGGTTCATCTCACCACACCGTACTTTACTTTGAGAAAATTTTTTGGCAGAAACGCAGAAGTTTCTATACTGCAAAACTGCTTTTCATTGCCACCCTTTTGGTAAAGTGTCAAGATATTCACAGACGTTGTGTGTATTAGCACTGTTGCAAACAGCAAATAGGGGTGCAAAATACGTTAGCTTTTCTCTCTAAGCAAGCATGACACACAGACAACACTTACAATATACACTGTCTAGCCCAGAGGTGGGCAAAGGGACCTCCACAGGTCAGATTTGGCGCGCCAAGCGAGTTGATCTGGCCTTCAGTTGCACTGCCCCTCCCCTGCCCCCAGGCCAATCAAGACCTGGGGATGGGGGATCACATGAAGTCACCTATCCCTGCCAAGGCCATGTGGCACCAGAGGGAACTGCGCAAGCTCCCCTGCCCCCCAGAGCCTGATGTACCAGAGGGAACTGTATGCCTGGGGTGGGGCACGAGAGCCAGAGACTATGTCTACTCCTCCTTCCCCAGGCCCTTTCCAGTGGCTGGGAGGTGCGGCACAGGAAGGGGAAAGCTTCCCTTCAGTCCCTTCTCCGCCCCCGCCTGTCCTGATGCTGCTGGACTCTCTCTCTTTCTTTCTTGGCTGGGGTGGGAGAGTGCACCCCGATTGGCCTGGGGGCAGAGGGAGTCCGGGAAGTCTCCTCACACTACCAGGGGCACACTGCTCCTAGAGGGAACGGTCAGCTGTTCAGAACAGCTGGAGGTTCTCTCTAGGTGTCTGGAGTCCCTGGTGGGGGGGCTGGAGGAAGGGGCGCAAAATGTAACATACCCTCCCTCCCCACCCTATGTCCAGTCAGGGTCTGTGGGCAGGGGCACATTGGAAGTCTCCTGGCCCCACCCCTTCCACCCTAATCCCCGCCCCTTCTACTCCATCCTTCCAGGGCTGCCCACGACCACTTCTGAAATTCCCAAAGTGGCCCCTTTTCAAAAATTATTGCCCATCTCGGGTCTAAGCCCATGGCAACTCTTACATAATATTGAAGAATGGTACCATGGTTTCCAGAGGAAGCAGTGTGTCTCCACTGAAAATCATGATCAGTTCTACCACTCCCAACAACTGTTAATATTCTTATTTCAAACAGTCTGCAGATCTTGAGGGCTGACAACTATTTTTTATTTTAAAAAAATTGTATCTTATTAAAATCAAATCTTAGTCTGAAATATAAAAAACAAAATGTTATACCTGTATTGCTCTCACAGTTCTATATGGGAGACACAGTCCCTTCTTTTGGCCCTGCAGTAAGTCATCCTGAGATTAATGCTGAAAATACTATACAAAGCCAGCAACAATTTTCTTAGTTATAGAAAAATCAAATTTAAAAATAATTTCTTAATATTAACAGCTGTCCCTTATATTGTGCTTAACCAGAAAGATTGACAGAACTTGCCTCATATGACAGTAAAAGCAATACACAATTGGAGTTCAACATGGAAACAGACCGTTAGCACATAAAAACTGTATAAAATAAACCACTATTTCTTGGAAAGAATAAAAATATTGGATTACAAGTTTTGGTTTACAAATTATTTACAGTTGGCAACTTCCTCCCTCCCCTTCAAATGTATGGCTCAAGAAATTTACTGCCCACTTCCCTTGTTTACGAGTGACACCGTATAGTGATTACAAAAGTGCTTCCTGGTTAAAAGGTCAGAACAGATATGGTCTATGAAATTCTGTACGTCTTTCTGATAAGCCTTTCAGTCTTTAATTCTTGGTATGTTGTAGGCATAACGTACCAAAGGGAATCCTCTGCTTTGATAGAAACACGCACGACCACAGGCCTGCACTTGGTCTGAACTGTCCGACACAAAAGAGTCGTCCTCATCTGCATAATCAGAATGGGCAGACTGCGTGCCGCAGTCTGACCAATACCCCTCTGGCCGTTGGCAAGGCACCACTGCCAACGTAGGACAACTGTGTGATTTTATTAAGTGTTTGCATGGTACAGGTTTGGAAAAAAGTAGTGATTCACAACATTCACACATGGTAAGGTTACCCTGCAAATGTGAATACATGCCACAGTCATAGTAGAAATCCTGTGTCACACAGCCATCTTGAGTATTGACAGTGATTGCCACTGCGCCATTCTTTTTGGTGATATGCTGTCTAAGTAATTTCCAGTCTTCCTTGAACTTTGGGTTGAAAAAAACGTATAGGACTGGATTCAGACAAGCAGGTAAAGGGAAAAATATTAGAGTAACAGACTTCATTATTTCAGGGCTGATAGAAATTGCAGTGATCAGTGGTGCAAATGAAAAAAATGCCACAGGACAGAAAAAAATGCAGTTGGTGAAGATTAGCCAAGCGACATGCTTAATCATGCTGGATTGTGAGTTTTCGGAGATGTCTTCTTTTTCCAAGTTGCAATAAAGTTTAGTGTAGATAATAGCCATTAGCAAAAATGCTAATGAGTTTAGGAGCACTAAAGTTACTGTAAACCCTAATGAAGGTGTTTCTCCAGTGGGGAAAGGCAGGCAGAGGGGTGAAGCTGAATACTCTCCTTTATGGAAAAGCGGCAAGCATCCTGCTACTACAGCACACAGGAAAGCAAAAACTGCAGCAATCTGGAATTGTTTTAGGCGACTGCTTTTCCCATTTTTAATTATCTCTTTTGCAGAAAAGCTTCGTTCAACAGCTGCCAACATCAGGAAAAAAATGGCACTTTCTGATGAAAAGACTGCAAGAAACCCAGCAATTTTACAACCACTGCCAGTCTCCCACCATATGCCAAATTCAGCAAATCTTCCCCAAGAGACTGCATCCAGGAAAGTTAATATACCAGTATAGATTCCCATAAATAAATTAGAGATAGAAATCAGGCCTATGAACAGTTTGGAGGAAGACAGTGGAGCACAGGATGCAAATATTGTTAACAGGACAAGCAGGTTGAAGAATAAGGCAACCAAAAAAATAAACCAGACAGTAAGTCGAATCATCCAGCTTCCCAATAAATATTCACAGGGCTTAAAAGCACCTAGAGGAAACACAATGAAAAGGACAAGGAATTAAAAAAAAAATAAAACAGCATTGAAAATCTTACATAATTAAACACCATTACAAGCATCCAACTCATTATTTCTGGAATAACAACATGCATATGAACTCCTAAATAAGTCAGATGAAAGTCAACTGTACTGCCACTGAAGCTATTTACAAATTAAGCCCAAAAAGATAGTTACTAGGAAGAATAGTAACTCAGGAATACTTTGCATAAGCAAAATAAATAATTAAAACCTATTCTTATGCTAATGGTCTGAACCAAGATAGTGTGCAAGCCATCCTCTATCTTCCACCTTTTAATGACTTATCCAACCAATCAAACAATGGAGGTGCTAATGGTTCTTAACAGCATTTTATAACTATTTGCATTATCTACTCTGTCTCTCTTCTTCTTCCTCCCATCCCCTTTTTCCTTCTTCCCTCCCCCCTTCTTTGTTTATTCTTGGATCTGGACTTCTTATACTCCAATCATCTGAAGAAGTGGGTTTTGCCCACGAAAGTTCATGATTCCACCCACATGTTTTGTTACTCTTTAATGTGCTACTAGACTATTTGTTGTTTAAGTTTTTAATAGTCTTTGTTATTCAATAGAGCTCTCAGTAGGGGTACCTACATTTTATTTTTACCTCCATACTTTTTATGAATACATTCATTTTAAAAAATAATAATAATAATAATAATAAAGACAGAAACACTTTACTGTTCAAACCCATCCTGAAAATTTTGCCCTTGCTCCTTAAATGCCAGCCAGCCCTCCCCAAGTTCCTGTAGTATACAAGGAGCTGTGGGTTACTTTAAGCCAGTGTTTCTCAAACTGCTCCGCGGAGCCCCAGGGCTCCACGAGACATCTCCAGGGGCTCCGTGAGGTTGACAAACTGGAAACATCGATAGGTACAACACATACAATCAGTGGACCGGTGTACAGGCAGTCCCCGGGTAACGTACAAGATAGGGACTGTAGGTTTGTACTTAAGTTGAATTTGTATGTAAGTCGGAACTGGCGTCCAGATTCAGCCGCTGCTGAAACTGACCAGCAGCTGACTACAGGAAGCCCGAGGCAGAGTTTCGATCCGCGTAACTCGGGGACTGCCTGTACTTATGCGGAGCCCCAACATATATAATCAGTGGACTGCTGGGGCTCTGCATACATTTTTACACATGTAAAGGGCTCCGGAGCCCAAAAAGTTTGAGAATCACTGCTTTAAGCTATCATTGTTTCTTCTTTTAAAAAAAAAGTTATAGGGAATGTGTAAAAAGCCGACAAACTCAATTTATTTATTTGGGGTAGGATTTTACCCCAAGTTTTCTGTTCCTAGCCTTGCCAGTGACATACCATGTTACCATAGGGAAGTCAGAAAGGAAAATTATTCTCTACATTTTTCACCATGGAGATGAAGAAATGAAGGGTAAATCAACTTACTATAAATCTGTCACAAGGAAAGAAACTAAGTGTAAGTGGCATCATTGCTCCTACACGCCCTCAAATTCCCTCCACATAAACTCCTATCGGAGATCATATGCATATTATGAAGGTTATTTAATTAGTGTATTTAGTGTACTGTGAAAGCGTATGATAAGATCTAAAGTAATATTCTTGGTGTCCTTGAACACTCTGAATACCAATATAAAGGGCCTTAGCCCTCCCTGGCACTGAAAACTACACTAACCATTGTAAGTGGCTTGGATAAGGGGAATCTCCAGGTGGCCCCAGCTTTGTCACATGCCAGTGGGCCTCAGGTATGGATAGTCTTCTAGGGAAAGGGGCGTGGGCAGATGATGCTACCATCTTGAGTTAGTAAAACAGCTGATGGAGGCTGGTCCATCCAGCACAAGATAGCCTCAATTTAGAGTTTCTGGGGATAAAAATGGCCCCAAGACCACACAGTAGGTGCAGTCTGCTCCAAACTCTGACAAACAATTATTGTGGAAAATAATCAAAGTTCTTAACTGCCTTTTTGAACTCTGTTTCTGAACCTAGTAGAATTTAATCAATCAACATGTTCTTCTGTATTGAGGCAAATATGTTTATTTCTGGGCAGGTTCATATTGGCACCATTGGGATCCTTAGAAAATAGACTAAACAAAAGAGCTGCCAAATCTCTTTTTCTTGCAGGAACTCGATTCCTCACTGAACAATTATTTTCAAACCATAGTAGTTGTTTTGTTTTTTCATTTCACATGAACATTCTAATGTTAAGAAGAATGCTACTGAAAAGTAAAAAACTACATACTATTTATGAAAAGAAAAAGGAAACAAAGTGTTGGTGGAAAGGGAATTCAAGACCAATTTGCAATTCATTTTCTAACAGCTGCAAGATATGCCGATGGCTGTCTCTATCTGTCAGCTAAAAAAATCCCGTTCAGCTTTCAGCCACCTTGGTCTGCTGCTTCCTCTGCTACTTCATGCTTCTCATTTCCCCAAGAGAACGTTCCTCTTTTCCCATGGGTAAGGTGGGTTAGAAGAGTTGTTGATGCTTCTAATTGCTGGCTCCACTGCTTAAGTAATTGACAATCCATTTTCTGCGGCTAGGCCAAGAGGGGAGTGAACCTGACATAGAAGCAGTTATTCTGTATTTACTCAGAGGTCAGGTGTCCAAATTAAGATGAGAGCAACATCTTGGATTGGGAAGAGATTATGAGCAAGGGAGGGGGACTGCAGACAGGCAGTCAGCTTAAAAAACAAATAGTTGTGCTTAGCTCCTTAAAGGGCTCAAGCCATACCTGCACGTGCAAAATGAGAGCATTAAAAAAGACTGTAAACCTTTACCATGGCACATGAATTAGAATTCCTGTGAGTAACCTAATAATTCAAAAGTGAATTTGCACAAAAAGAGGCATAGGTTAAATTAATTCCCACTGCTGAGTTCAGTGCAAGTTACACCAATGATGAATTTTCCCTTCTAATCAAAATGCTTTTCCTGTGACCCAGGAGATCACTCTAATACTGCCCCTAAGAAAAGAGAAGCTAGCACAAAAGGCAAAGAAGCCAATTTGCTGAACCTGAATAATGGATTTCTACGAGAGGCAGATAAAATAGGTGCAGGCCCCCTTCTATCCTATGACAACTGCCCTGGCAGTATGTCTTTGTGCAGGGAAGAAGGGGGCTAGGAGGGGAATGGGAAGGTGGCAGGTACAGGGCAGAAGTCCTGACAGGCTGGCTGGAACAATATCATTGGTTCTCAGCAGCTCTTTAGGGGGCAGGGACTTCAGTGGTATGTCTGAATCTTCTGTGTAACCTGACAAGGAAGGAGTAGCTGCTATGGAGAAGGAAGATAGGTGGGTAGGAAGAGTAATGATACAAGTGGCCTTTGGCATTCCTTCGCAATATCAGAGAATTTCAGCAACACCACAAGCACTGCAACCCTTTATAGCCAGAGCACTGCTAATGTGGCAAGTTGGTTCAAAGCATTAAAGGGCAATAAATACTGTCACCTCTAAATGTAAAGGCTAAGATGCTGATTGCACTGAGCTTGGGAACCACAGCTGGACTTTTTCCAAAATGGCTCTCTACTACAGTGTTAAATTGGGTCAAATCCTCTGATATTTATTCACCCAAAGATACTACTGACATCAATAGGAATGTCACTCAAGCACTACAGAATTGTGTGTACACAGGCATCATGAGGACTTGGAGACATAATTCAGTAGATCGCTAAAGCACAACGACAAGCTAAAAGTTCAGAGTATAACTGAAGTAGCTGGTTTAATTACCTGTTGTGGGCGTACAATGAATAATTGTCTGACCCAGTTCTTCATTCTCATCAGGGTTTGGAATATCTGCATCTGCTGTAGCTGAGTAAACATAGGAATTTAAGGCCCTAAATAATACTCATTTGATTTTTTTCAAATATTTTTTAAACCACCTAATTTTACATCAAAGTATTTTTCAAATCATTATCCCAGAAGCAATTAACTCAGTTGTCTGGGGATTATATATGTGCAATGCTAGTTTAATTTTTAAAATGTTTTCTGTCCCCCTCCCTGCCACACTATTTAGATTCTATTTTTGTTTTGAGGGACTTCAGAAACTTCAAAAATCACCAGGACAAGTTCCATGGATGCTAGAATCTAGCACAGAGGTGGGCAATAATTTTTGATGGGGAGCCACTCCAAGATTTTGGAAAGTGGTCAAGGGCTGCACTTTTCTGTGGGGTAGATGAGGAGTCTAGAATGGAGGTTGGGTGCAGAAGGGCGCATGGGGTAAGGGACTGGAGTGTGGAGACAGTGAGAGGTCTAAGTGGGCGTTTGGATCTTGGGAGAGGGGTTGTGACCTGGGTGAGAGGATAGGGATGGAGGGTAAGGAACAGAGTGTGGGTGCAGGAGAGGATACAGGCCTGGGGAGAAGTGAAAGAGGAGCTACAGGGTCTGGGAGGGAGTTGTGACATGGAGCAAGGGGGCAAAGGGTTTGGATGGTGTCCTTGGGGAGGAAGTTCAGGTGCGGGAGGGGCATGGGTGCCAAAGGCAGGCTCTGGCTGGGAGGCACTTAAGTGCCTTCAAGACAGGGTGAGTTCCTGCCTGCTGCAGCCCCAGATTGTTTAAAACTGCAGACTGCACCCTCCATGAGGTTCTCAACTCTGGGAGTGGGGAGAGGCTCGCATTACACCCATCCCCCAGGCCAATCTCTCAGCTCCTATTGGCTGGTTGTTTCCCGCTAAGAAATTGGCTGGGGTCAGTTCCTACTGACCGGTTGTTTCTGTCCAATAGGAGCTGAGAATTGGTCTGCGGGTAGGGAGATCACACGAAACCTCTCCTCCCTCCAGAGCAGAGAGCACCAGCCCTGTGCTTGAAACAGTGGCTGCTGTGTGCCTGAGAGTCCCGGCAGCGTGGTCCGTAGGCCAGATCTGGTGGCTTGGCAGGCCGGATCCAGCCTGCGAGAGGTATCTTGCCCACCCCTGACCTAGCAGGAGTTCAAGAAAGGGAAGGAGGAAGACCAAATGCTCCATTCTTTCTGTTGTTGCTCTTCCCGTACAGTCATTTTTTTTACATATCTTTGTTTCTTCCCTCTTTTATCCTCTCCCCTGCACAGTTGAGCCACCAGAAGAATGCTGTGTGGGGGAAGGATTGAGGAGATGCAGTCCCACCAGCTACCCCTCTCCTCTCTTTGCCCTCAGCACTCCCTACAACAACACACAAGCATGGGTGTTGTCAGGTTGTAATCCTTATTGCCCACAAAGAATTGTGGGATCTGGCTGGCTCTTGGAAAAGAAATACAGAGGGACTGTGTGTCCCATGAGTAGGAAAGGTTGAGAACTACTACTGTAAGCCATGGCATATTCGAGAGGAAAACTTGAAACCCTGAAACCAGGGATTGAAGTATCATAGTTCAGACCCTGGAATGTTAGATAGCGTGTAACTCAAGTGGCAGGGCTCGACAAATTATGGAAAACCCTACTCTCCAGACAAAAAAGGGACTCGCCACCCTCCTCCTCCCAAAAAGTGGGTTTTTTTAATGGCATACATTCCTGGTAAGAAGAAGAACAGTAATTACTAATAGTTCTTAATAAATATCACCCAAGTTATTAATAAATATCTTATAAACTTCCACCTTTCCCCTCTGCTGCCATGTCTCCTTCCCTTGCTCCATCAGCTCCCCTGGAGCCTGCTGCCCCCCAACCCCTCACCCTGCTCTGCTGTCCTGACTCCTGTCCTTCTCACTGCCCTTAGCCTTCCTGAGACCTGCCCCCCTCCACCAGCCCTTCTCTCCCCCCTGTGCCCACTCCTCCAGTAGCCCCACTCTGATCAAGTGAGCTACTCCTCCTCATCCCCTCTCCTAACACCTCCCTCTACACACCTGCCCTGCCTCTCTCCTCTGATGCTGGTCCCGCCCCTGCAGGTGTCTGTCCATCTGCTTCACCCCCAGCATCTCCTGGCACCTGCACCTTCCCTTACCCTTGCACCCTCCTGGTTCCTCCCCCTTTCCTCACTGCTCCTGCCCCCTTTTTCCCTGATGCCCACCCCCTCAGCACCCTCTGCCCCCATTCCCCTCATGCCCCTGTGCCCTCACACATGTCTTGCTCCATCCTCACCTTCCTCATGCCCACCCCTTCTTTCAAGCCTTCTCCCAGCACCCCCCTCCCTCTAGCCCCCAGTGCCCTTACCCTCTCCTCTTCCGGCATCACCCTGTTCCCCCCTCCCACTGACACCTCCCCTTCTGCCTTTTTCCTCATTGTCTGCACTTGGCCCCCTGGGATTTGTCTCTCCTGCACCCCTGTCTCTTGGTGCCTTCCCCTTTCTTCTTCTTCTCCTCCCCCCTCCGCACAAGCCCCTCCCCCCTCCCTCTAGCCCCCAGTGCCCTTACCCTCTCCTCTTCCGGCATCACCCTGTTCCCCCCTCCCACTGACACCTCCCCTTCTGCCTTTTTCCTCATTGTCTGCACTTGGCCCCCTGGGATTTGTCTCTCCTGCACCCCTGTCTCTTGGTGCCTTCCCCTTTCTTCTTCTTCTCCTCCCCCCTCCGCACAAGCCCCTTCCCCATATTTGTCTCCTCCCCGCCCACAGCCCAGCCCAGCCGCTTCTCCTCCCCCAGGGCCAAGCAAAAAATTCTCTCCCCACTTTTTTGTTGTCTTTTACATGTTTGCATTTTGCAATGTGGGTTTTTTTTTTTTGTTTTCATTTTTGTCCCAGCACTTTAGCCCTATAAATAGCATTTTCATTCATTTTTTTCCATAAAGGCAATGGCGCTTCAAGTGAACTCCCCCTTTCACTCGCTGCTGGGTCACAGCAGCCTTTTTCCTGCCCTGTCCAGCCCCTCCCTATGGACAAGCACCCCTCACTCCCAACCTACAGGGGAAACAGGGTGCAGGGACAGCACAGAGCCAGAGGGGTGCAGGGAACAGTGGTGGGGGGGACAGGGGTGGCACGGGGAACAGGAGGCACAGAGGCAGAGGGACGCAAGGATCGGGGGAAGCAGTGTGCGGGGTGCGGTGGAGGCACGGGGAATGGGACGGGCAGAGGGATCAGGGTCTAGGCAGTGCAGCGAGCGGTGTGGTGACTGGGTGGTGGGAGCCAGATGGGGCGCAGGGCGGGCGCAGCGAGACGGGCGGTTGACAGGGAGTGGTCTCTCGCCAGCGAGGGGCTGGGGCTATGGCAGGACTGGAGCCAGAGGGGCGGGGCTTGGCTCCGTCGTGCATCACAGCCAACTGCCTGGGACACGCAGCCAGAGCCGAGCTGCTGTGGCCCTTTAAAAATCGGCGGGGTGCCAT